TATACTATATATACATATTAAGATATACTATATATACTATACTATATATACATCTTAAGATATACTATATATATTATACTTTACTATATATATATCTTAAGATATACTATATATACTATACTTTATTATATATACATCTTAAGATATACTATATATACATAGTATACTAGATATACTAGATATATATATAGTAGATATACATGTATACAGTGGCGGACCCAAGTGGTGGCTAGCGGGTTCAACTGAACCCGCTTAACAAAAAAATAATACTGTGTATATGTATGAATTATGATTAAAGCTGTTTATATTTTGCATAAATATTTTATTTGAACCCACTTGATAATTACTATTTTACGACTAAATTTATATACCTCTAAAATTGAACCCGCTTGCACAAAATCCTGGGTCCGCCACTACATGTATATATACNTATATATATATATATATAGTATATCTTAAGATGTATATATAGTATATCTTAAGATGTATACTATGTATATAATATAGTCTATAAATCGAATATAGCTTATATATCTTTATTAATATTTTTTTTCTCTAACTTTTATTAAAAAAAATAAATTTAAAATACAAAGTTTCTGTTGGGACCGTTAAGGCCCGGGACCGGCCCACTTAATCCGGGACCGTTAGTTCGTGGTACCGGTCTCGAACTGATTCCAGCAATAAGCCCGCGAAGCCCGGGACCGTTTAGGACCGGACCGCATAGGACCGGCCCACTTAATCCGGGACCGTTAGTTCGTGGTACCGGTCTCGAACTGATTCCAGCAATAAGCCCGCGAAGCCCGGGACCGTTTAGGACCGGACCGCATAGGACCGGCCCACTTAGGACCGACCTACTTAGGACCGGGCCCGGCCCACTTGCCACCCATACTTGGAACTAAACATAAGAGAATAGCTCTGAATCTGTTAGAAATGATCATTAATAGGCGCAAATAAAGGAAAAATCAATCAATCCCGTTTTATACGGGATTTGTCATCATACTCCATACAAATCAATGACGTAACACATAATGACAGTAAAAGGTAGGAGTTGGACAAGGCGAATGATTACGAATGAGATTACTATTTAAACCCCCTATTTCGTATCTTATATCCCTATCGAAAAACTATTCAATTATTCCCTCAATCACATTGTTCAATTTTTGTTCTTTATTTCTGGTAAATAATATGCTCATACGAAAGAAGGGCTACAATTATCAATAAGATTTCTATTTCTTTTTATCTCTTAATTTGTTCTTTTTCAATATTTATTCCTTTTTCATAAGGTTTATATTTGAAAAAAAAAATGAATCGGTTGTTAATAACTAGAAATCTTTGTTTAATTACTTTGACCATAAAAAATATTCTTAGGTTAACATCATGGATGGAAGCGGGACATGACGAAGTCTTCGAATATGTGGAGTCATGAAGGAGCGCCTTAAGAAATCTTTGTTCTTTTAGATGAAAGACCTTGGCGATTAGACGGCTTTGTTACGGAACATCTTGTCGAATATGATGTTCCACGATGTAGCTGAAATTGGTGTTGAAATTTATGGCAACATATAAATTGAGTTGGTATAGTCATTTGGAAAGTTCACTATATAGCTGAAGGAATCTCTTGCTAAGGATAACTTAGTAGATGTAAAGATCAAAAACTCTATAGTGGATGTGGATAGTCCTTCTGCTCTTGTGAGTCAAATCGTGAATTGAACATAATTTTCGGGGAAGTTGCTGCAATTACGGGCTTTACAAAATGCAAGCAAGCATGCATACTTGTTTGGTGAAAGGGTGCTTTACTTCAATCCTATGCACCCAAAAAGAATGAGAATTTGAAGAGGATTGCACAAAAATTATACGAAATAGCTTTAACGGAGAGAAGATTGGAATTTATTAACCAAAAGAATTCTGCCTCCCACATGCACGGCTTAGTTCAAAGCACTCTTTTCAGCATCATTACGAAAGAAAAGGTTGCAACAGTCGAGTAAGAAGAAAACTCGGAATAACTAAAGGTTGAATTTGCAAAACTTTTCTTGGCTTATTTTGATATTTTTTGGTAGAAAATGTGATCGTCGATGGAGATAAAAATTCGGGGTGACTGAATCATTGTTAACAGTATGTGTCAATTTACACATTCTGTGTATAGCCCTAGTAACTGAAACATGCAAGAGAATGAACCAACAATGGAGGAAGATTCTAGAGAGAAGGAAGAGAGAAGATTTTCATTTTTGTATGTCTAATACATGCGTACACTGTTCTTATATAGAGCAGTGTCAACCGCCTCTAACTAACTAATTCTTCTAACCCCTCTAACTTTCTTTATTTACAAGATGACCCCCCACAGTGAACTCTCTATCACGACACTCCCCCTCAAGCTGGAGGGTGGATTACATCGAGCACTCCTTGCTTGCCTAAGAGTAACTTGTGTTGGGCTGCTCCAAGTCCTTTTGTCATTAGGTCTTCCATTTGTTGCTTTGTGGGAATGTAGTTGGTTGTGATTACTCCTTTCTTGATTCTTTCCCTTACAAAACGACAGTCGATTTCTATGTACTTTGTTCTTTCGTGAAAAATTGGACTTCCTGCAATTTGTAATGATGCCTTGCTGTACAATGCAGATGTATAAGTTCCTTTACTTTGTTTCCCAGTTCTTCCAACATACCCTTTATCCACATGAGCTCTGCTATAACTGCTGCCATGCTTCTGTATTCTGCTTCTGCAGAGCTTCTACTAACAATTTATTGCTTCTTAGATTTCCAAGATAGCAGAGAATCACCCAATTTCACCATATATCCTGTTACTGACCTCCTGGTATTTGGGCAGGCTACCCAATCCGAGTCACAATATATTATGAGCTCATTAGCAGTTCCACCTTTCAATAGAATCCCCAATCTTAAACTCTCTTTAATATATTTGACAACCCTTAAAGCTGCTTCCATATGTGATTCTTTAGGATGTTGCATGAACTGGTTCAACACTTGGACTGCAAAGCATATGTCTGGCCTTGTAATTGTTAAGTACAACAGCTTGCCAATTAATTTTTGATAGCTACTTGCTTCCTGCAATTCTGCATCATCAATATTGCCAACATGTTTATCATACTCAACTGTGGTAAGCTTGTGGTTTTGTTCCATTGGTGTGGATACTGGCTTACAAGAACTTAGCCCAACTTCTGAGATTAGTTGCAAGGCATATTTTCTCTGATTGAGTAAAATACCCTTGTTGGATCTCATCACTTCAATTCCCATAAAATATCTAAGCTCCCCTAGTTCTTTCATCTTAAAGTTGCTGTGTAGAGTCTCATTTGCCTCCTGGATCAAACTACTACTACTTCCTGATATTAGAAGATCATCCACATATACCAATATAATGACAATATTTTCCTTATGCCTTTTGGTGAATAATGAATGATCATAAGAGCTTTGAGTGAAACCAACTTGCAATAGTGCATGTGTTAGCTTGATATTTCACTGCCTTGAGGCATGCTTTAGGCCATAGAGGGATTTAAGCAGTCGACATACCTTGAACTCCCCATGACTGTGAAATCCCTGAGGTAGCTATATGTGGACTTCCTCATATAAGTCCCCTTGTAGGAATGCATTATTAACATCCATTTGAAATAAAGGACAACCTTTAGATGCTGCAAAAGCAATGACAGTTCTAACAGTCACCATCTTAGCAACACGAGAAAAGGTTTTATGATAGTCCAAACCTTCTTGTTGTGTGTAGCCTTTAGCTACCAATCTAGATTTAAATCTATCAACCTCACCATTGGCCTTATACTTGATTTTATACACTCAGTTGGAACAAATAGCTTGTTTATCAGGTGGAAGATCTACAGTCTCCTATGTATGATTGTCCTCCAAGGCTTGGATCTCCTGTTCCATAGCAAGCACCTAGTCTTGGTCTGCTGCTGCTTCTTTGTATAATGTAGGTTATACTAAGGCAGAAAAGGCTTGGAGATATGTCTGATATGCAGTTGAAAGTTGACTGTATGACAAATGGTTTGACATAGGATAGATGTGTTTCCCTAGTGGTTTAGTGGTGACATAATCCTTGAGCCAGATTGGCTGCTTGATTTGTCTGTGAGGTATAGTGGTTTCAATGGTTGCAACATGTGAAGATATATCAGAAGTTGAAGGTGGGGTGACCAACATGTCATTTTGAGTGGGTGATGCCTCCATCTGGGAAGGAATGAACTGCTAGTTTTCATTAACAGGAGTAGCTTCAGGATTATGAAGGTCTGATGTTGATGCATGATCTGTCAAGGCATCAGGTTCTGTTAAGGCAGGTGTAGAATTGTCATCCTCATCTTGTGGGGTAGATGATAGTGTATTTTGTGGAGCAGTTAGAGGAGGTAAATTGGGATCAAATGTATTCTCCGCAGACTGAGAAAACAATGTTTCTTTATCATGGCTACTATAGGTCTGTTTAAAGGGGAAAACATATTCCTGAAATTTGACATTCATTTGGACCAAATAGCTTGTTTATGGCCTTGTACTTGATTTTGTACACCTATTTGGACCAAATAGCTTGTTTATCAGGTGGAAGATCTACAATCTCCCATGTATGATTGTCCTCCAAGGCTTGGATCTCCTGTTCCATAGCAAGCACCTAGTCTTGGTCTGCTGCTGCTTCTTTGTATGATGTAGGTTATACTAAGGCAGAAAAGGCTTGGAGATATGTCTGATATGCAGTTGAAAGTTGACTGTATGACAAATGGTTTGACATAGGATAGATGTGTTTCCCTAGTGGTTTAGTGGTGACATAATCCTTGAGCCAGATTGGCTGCTTGATTTGTCTATGAGGTATAGTGGTTTCAATGGTTGCAACATGTAAAGATATGTCAGAAGTTGAAGGTGGGGTGACCAACATGTCATTTTGAGTAGGTGATGCCTCCACCTGGGAAGGAATGAACTGCTGGTTTTCATTAACAAGAGTAGCTTTAGGATTATGAAGGTCTGATGTTGATGCATGATCTGTCAAGGCAGGTGTAGAATTGTCATCCTCATCTTGTGGGGTAGATGATAGTGTATTTTGTGGAGCAGTTAGAGGAGGTAAATTGGGATCAAATGTATTCTCCGCAGACTGAGAAAACAATATTTCTTTATCATGGCTACTATAGGTCTGTTTAAAGGGGAAAACATATTCCTGAAATTTGACATTCATTTGGACCAAATAGCTTGTTTATGGCCTTGTACTTGATTTTGTACACCTATTTGGACCAAATAGCTTGTTTATCAGGTGGAAGATCTACAATCTCCCATGTATGATTGTCCTCCAAGGCTTGGATCTCCTGTTCCATAGCAAGCACCTAGTCTTGGTCTGCTGCTGCTTCTTTGTATGATGTAGGTTATACTAAGGCAGAAAAGGCTTGGAGATATGTCTGATATGCAGTTGAAAGTTGACTGTATGACAAATGGTTTGACATAGGATAGATGTGTTTCCCTAGTGGTTTAGTGGTGACATAATCCTTGAGCCAGATTGGCTGCTTGATTTGTCTATGAGGTATAGTGGTTTCAATGGTTGCAACATGTAAAGATATGTCAGAAGTTGAAGGTGGGGTGACCAACATGTCATTTTGAGTAGGTGATGCCTCCACCTGGGAAGGAATGAACTGCTGGTTTTCATTAACAAGAGTAGCTTTAGGATTATGAAGGTCTGATGTTGATGCATGATCTGTCAAGGCAGGTGTAGAATTGTCATCCTCATCTTGTGGGGTAGATGATAGTGTATTTTGTGGAGCAGTTAGAGGAGGTAAATTGGGATCAAATGTATTCTCCGCAGACTGAGAAAACAATGTTTCTTTATCATGGCTACTATAAGTCTGTTTAAAGGGGAAAACATATTTCTGAAATTTGACATCCCTGCTAACTAAGACTATATGAGTATCAGGATCACATAACCTATATCCTTTTTGTGTCTCAGAATATCCAATGAATATTGCTTTCCTAGCTCTGGGGGCAAACTTGTCTCTTTTAGGAAGATTACAAGCAAAGCTTTGACATCCAAACACTCTTAAATGGCCCAAGTTAGCTGGCTTCCCATAGAGCATTGCATAGGGTGTCTTGCCTTGTAACACTGATGTTGGTAGTCTATTAATTAAGTATGCAACAGTCCTAACACACTCACCCCAGAACTTCAGAGGTATCCCACTTTGAAACTTTAGAGCTCTAGCAACATCTAGAATATGCCTATATTTTCTCTCAACTATACCATTTTGTTAAGGAGTATATGGGCAAATACTTTGGTGTATAATGTCATTCTCAGCTAGTAATTCATTACATTTGGCATTAAAGAATTCTGTGCCATTATCTGATCTCAGGGTCTTGATTCCAGTATCAAACAGTGTATTTGTTATTGCAATGAAATTCTTCAATACAACACACACTTCACACTTAGATTGTATTAAGCATACCCATGTGTATCGAGTAAAATCATCAATAACAGTCACAAAGTAATATTTAGGGTCCCCACATATCTAAATGAACCAGTTGAAAAGCTACTTTAGACTTGCTTACACTGTTAGGAAACTACAATATACTTTGTTTAGCTAGAGGACAGATGCTAAAATTTCTTGATTTCCCTACACATATCTTGTCTTGTAGAGATGAGATATGTCGTATAGAGTTCCAGGATGCATGTCCTAGTCTGTAGTGCCATAACTGTGTTTGCTCTTCTTTCATTACTGCACCTATTGTTATACTTGTTGCTTGTGCATATTCCCTTAGTATGTAAAGACTATCAGACTCTCTACCAATCCCCAATACCTTGCCATTATAAAGTCCCTGCAACACACAAAAATCAAGGAAGAACTTCACTATGCAAGTGAGGTCTCTAGTGAGTTTTGATACTGACAACAAATTAAACTTGAAATCTGGCACATGTAGTACATCCTTTATACATTTGTCTCCTAAAATAGTAGCATTTCCAGTATACAATATCTCTGCTTTATTTCCAGTTGGCAATTGAACTCCTTGACCTCCAACTTGCTTTGTACCACTCATTATATTCTTATCACGAGCAATATGATGGGTTTTCCCTGAGTCTACTATCCAACTAGTTAAAGAAATATTGGATAGTAAAGTCATAATACCTTCCATGTTAGTGGAGCATTCTTCACCTCCTTGTTTGTTTAGAAGTCCTATAAGTTGCTGAAATTGTTCTTCAGTGAGGAAATGGCCTTGTGGCTGAGTGCTTGTACGTCCTGTTTCTTCAGTTCTTCCAGCATTAGCAAAAGTTCTATTTCCTCCTCGCTGAGGTTTCTTTTTTCTTTTAAAATCAGCTAGATAGCCAATAATTTTGTAACAGTTTTCCTTTAAATGTCTCTTGTAACCACAATGTTCACAAATTAGTCCAAATTTCTTAGGTTTAAAACTCTGTCCTTTTCCTGCAATCATAGTCAATGGATCTCTATTTGTGTCAACCACACCTAATGTTCTTTGACTCTTCTCCTGTGTCTGTAACGACTCGGCCGGTCGTTACGAATAATTTAATCCCGATCCCCTAAATTTTTGTTTCCTCAATGCTATATCGTGGAGTATTAACTTGCCAGGATGTTTGGTTTTTGAATTCAGAGTGAAATGAGACACCTAGTTCCTAAGTTAAAGACTTAAGTTGAAAAGGTTGACCGAATATTGACTTATGTGTAAATGACTCCGAAATAGAATTTTGATAATTGCAATAGCTCTGTATGGTAATTTTGGACTTAGGAGCGTGTCCGGAAAATTATTTGGAAGTCCGTAGTTAAATTAGGATTGAAATGGCTAAAATAGAAATTTAAGTGTTGAAGTTTGACCGGGGAGTTGACTTTTTGATATCGGGGTCAGAATATGATTCTGGAAATTTGAATAGGTCCATTATATCATTTATGACTTGTGTGCAAAATTTGAGGTCAATCGGACTTGATTTGATAGGTTTCGGCATCGAATGTAGAAGTTAGAATTTCCTAGTTTCATTAAGATTGAATTGGGATATAATTCATGTTTGTAGCGTTGTTTGATGTGATCTGAGGCTTCGACTAAGTTTGTATAATATTTTAGGACTTGTTGGTGCATTTGGTTGAGGTCCAGAGAGACTCGGGTGAGTTTCGAATGGTTAACACAACAAATTTGGACTTAGAACAATTGAAACTTGATGCTACTTACTGATGCAATCGCACATGCGGAAATTGCACTCCCAAGTGCGAGCACGCAGAAGAGAGCTTGGCATCGCAGATGCGAGAGGACCGCATAAGAGGACTATGCCTCGCAGAAGCGCGACTGCAGAAGCGGCACACGCATCGCAGAAGAGAAAATGGTGAGGAAGCCGAGCAGCGCAGGTGTAGAATTTTATTCGCAGATGCGGAGTCGCATCTGCGCTTGGCTCACCGCAGAAGCAAAGGCAGTCTTATGGGCAACCACATAATCGGAGTTTTGGGACGCACCTGCGAGACCGCAGATGCGGCTAAATGAGTCGTAGGTGCGAAAAAGCCCAGGAAAGAATATATTTGAAGGGTGCGAGAGTTTCTCTAATTTTGGACATTTTCAACACGGGTTTGGGCGATTTTTCAGAGAGAATTCATGGAAACACTTGAGGTAAGTCACTTGTGATCATTATTAGTCAATAATATTGGATTATTATTGACTATTTCAACTAGATTACATGTTCTTTAGGTGAAATTAGAGGATTTGGGCCTAGGGATTTCAAAATAAAAATTTAAAATTTGGAGGTCGGGTTGATGTTGGAATTTAGTAATTTTGGTATGGTTGGACTCGTGGTTGAATGGGCGTTCATATATTATAACTTTTGTAGGGTTCCAAGACGTGGGCCCTACGGGCGATTGTTGAGTAAAATTTCAAATTTTGTTGGAAACTTTGTATTTTCATATGGAATAAATTTCAATAATTTGTATTGATTGAATCGAATTAATTGTGACTAGATACTGGGCTTTCGGAGGCTAATTCGCGAGGCAAGGGCATATCAGAGTAAATAATTACCCGGTTCGAGATAAGTAACTTGTCTAACCTTGTGTCAGGAAAATTTTCCTTAGGATTTGGTATTGATATGAAAATTGTGAGGTGTTGAAAGTCCTGTACGTAAGGTGACGAGTGTGTACACGGGCTAAAGGTGAAAGATTATGTACTTAAATTGTATACTTCACTGTTTCATATTAATTTAATTCTTTTATCCTGTTATATTCATCATCATCGATCTATTTTTTTATATTTTAAATTTTCCTTACCTTTTTCCTGCAAATTGCTTTACCTGTTTAGATGAAACTTTGTTTTCTTTTATTCTGTGCTCATTATTTTAAAATTGAATTTCTTAATTGAATTATTATTAATATGACGTATTTGACATTAAAAATTTGCTATTGAGGCAAGGTGTTAAATTTGTGAAATATTGTTTTTGTTTAGTTATTCACTTCCGAATATGTTGTAAGATTTTGTATTCATTGTGATTGAGTCGTGAGCTCCTTATTGTGGAAATAATATTGTTGTTGATTTATTTTGGCAAGTTGAAATATTTGGGTACTTAGGTGCAAATTGTGATATATTATAAAATTTATACGCATGTGGTAGTATAAAGTCTGGGTGTTGAAATGCATGCGGTGAGATAAGGGTAGCTTGATACGCGTGGCTAGTAGGGGAACTACTAGAAGTCATGCGGTGTGATAAGGGTGGCAAAAACACAGGATGCCATTTCGGGAAAAATATTTTCTTTAAAATTAATATGAAAGCTCCTGCGGTGATATAAGGAAAATGAGATATTGTGAATTTATTTATGATTTGGGAATACAAGGCGGTACCTCGTGAGTGCCCTTGTTGATATTTCTCTATGGCTGCACTTGCTTTTGGTTACTTGTGTTTTTCTTTATATTTATAAATTCCTGTTTTCCTTCTGTGAGGTATTATTTGCCTTTATTCTATATAGTTGAATTATGACATATTACTTACTTGAATTATTTCCATTGTCATTATTATTATTATTATTATTATTATTATTATTATTATTATTATTATTATTATTATTATTATTATTATATTGATTAAACTTTCACCTTGTCTTTTATTACTTCCAGTAGCGCCTGACTTGACCTCGTCACTACTCTGCCGAGGTTAGGCTTGGCACTTACTGGGTATCGTTGTTGTGTACTCATACTACGCTTCTGCACATCTTTTTGTGCA